GTTGCGTATCGTTTGTTTGGTGGTAGTATTGGTATTTCAAACACGCTAGGTGTTTGTTGGTTTTGAGTAGGTGTAGCTGGAGTAGACTCTATCTCCATTTCTCTATCAGTTTGGGCCTCTGGCCCTAGGCTCTCCTGTCTGTTTTCTTGAGTATTTACTACAATAGTATCACTGTCTGGCGGCATTTTATTACTAAGCTCTTTTCTTAGTAAGCAACTAGATGGTCTGTGTGTTTTTGTTTTCGTGAGTGAGACGTGTTCAGATTAGCTACTTTACCAGCTTCTAGCTCTATAGCGCGTGGGCTGCACGAGTTGGCACTAGTTGTAATAGATTTCTTGGGATGGATTTGTATATATTTCGCTAAAATTACACCTATTCTGAAAAACTCGAAGTTGGTGTGCGAGCGCGTTCTAGATACTTGAGGGTCCCGCACTAGGCCGGGAGTACATTGATGAACCAGAAAAGACGGCCGCATCCTTCATAGAGGCACCAGCATGGAGAGCTTCTTTCGGGCAGAATAACCGCTCAAAACGCCTCTACAAGACTGGAGATTTGGCGAGATACAAAAAGGACGGGTCGGTCGAGCTAATGGGACGAAAAGACAACCAGGTGAAACTTCGTGGCCAACGCATCGAAATAGGGGAGATAGAGCACCAAGTCAGGCAGGCAAAGTGCGGCGTGAAACAAGCTGTGGCGGAGCTGATTAGACCTCATGATTGCGAGGATGACCTGCTTGCTTGTTTTATCGTTCTTGATGATGACCTGGACAACGAGATGAACGAGAACGACGACGAAAATACGAAGTACACGACAAAAACACAGAAGGTTGTGCAGCAAGTTCAAGAGAAGTTGGATCAGTTTCTTCCGCAATACATGGTCCCGTCAGCGTTCATTAGAGTACCCCAGCTACCATTAACATGGTCCGGAAAGATTGACCGCAAAAAGATACGCGAAATGGGTGCGTCCTTGTCAACGCAGGAATTACTCGCCGAGATGCGCACGCAGAGCCAGGGACCTAAGAGGCAGCCAACAACAGCAATCGAGCAGGCGCTGCAGCAGCTGTGGGCTCAGGTACTCGGCATCGATATGGATACTATTGGGCTGGATGACAGCTTCTTCCGCCTAGGCGGCGACTCTATCGCGGCCATGAAGCTGGTGGCTGAAGCCCGCAGGTTAGGAATGAAATTGACTGTAGCAGATGTCTTTCGCAGCCCCAAGCTCTGTCAGCTTACCACTGTCGTCGCCACCACATCAGTTACAGATTCTCCCACTACAATCCCTCGTGTGCATCACACTGGGCCCGCTCTACAATCCTTTGCCCAAGGACGTTTGTGGTTCTTAGAGGAGTTGTACCCGGGATTGAACTGGTACTCGATGCCATTAATGGTGCGCATGAAGGGTCCATTGCAGTTGGAAGCGCTCAAATCTGCCCTGCTTGCAGTCGAGAGCCGCCATGAGACGCTGCGAACGACTTTTGACACTATCAATGGTGTTGGTTTGCAATTCGTCGAGCCATTTTGCAGTAAAGACATCAGTGTTATCGAAATGCCGGCGGGCGACAAGCAGCGTCTTACAGATGCTCTTCAACGGGACCAAGCGACTCCTTTCGACCTGCGGTTAGAGCCTGGCTGGCGGGCGGCTATCTACCGTATAGGTGAAGACGAACATGTGCTATCTGTTGTCATGCACCATATTATCTTGGATGGCTGGTCCATGGATGTGGTAACCCGCGAGTTGGCTGCTTTCTACTCCGCCGCGACACAGGGCCGGGACCCGCTGGTTCAAGTACAGCCGCTGCCAATTCAGTACCGTGACTTCTCGCTCTGGCAGAGAGAGCAGGCCCAGGTCGAAAATAATCAGAAACAGCTTGACTACTGGGTTCGGCAGCTCCAGGGAAACCGACCTGCGGAACTACCTTGTGACAAGCCCCGGCCCGCCGCCTTATCAGGACAGGCTGGCGTACGATCCATTCAGATTCGCGGTTCCCTATATGACGATCTACAGCGTTTTTGCAAATTGCATGGCATGACGTACTTTGTAGTTCTGCTAGCTGCCTTCCGAGCCGCACATTTTCGCCTCACCGGCCAAGGTGATGCAACCATCGGCACACCAAACGCCAATTGGGAAAGGTGGGAGGTCAAGGACATGGTCGGCTTCTTTGTCAACCTACAATGTCTTCGAACATCTGTTGGCGAGGGAACTTTTAAAAGCCTTGTTGACCAAGTCCATGATGTTGTGGTTGCGTCGCATGCGAATGCAGATGTTCCATTTGAGAGCATCGTATCGAAGCTGAAGAATGATCGAGATTTGTCTCGCCACCCATTTTTCCAGATTGTGTTTGCTGTACACTCTCAGCAGGATTTCGGACAACTGAAGCTCGAGGGCTTGGAGACAGAGATCGTGCCTATGCCAGCAAATTCAAGGTTCGATATGGAATTCCACTTCTACCAGCAGGCAGATGGCTTGCAGGGTAACATGCAATTCTCTACAGACTTGTATGCTCCGGAAACTATTGACAATATGCTATCGATCTTCCATGTTGTCTTGGAAACATGTCTTAAGGAGCCTGAGACAGTAGTGGCTTCATTGCCAATGCTGAGTGACGCTCACTTCTGCAAGCTGGACAAGATGGGGCTTATCCAGGTTGAAGAGACGGCTTATCCCCGTGACTCTAGTATCGTCGACTTGTTCCGCCAGCAGGCTTTTATTTGTGCGTCCAAGGTTGCCGTCCAAGATGCATCGGCAAAGATGACGTACGCTCAATTAGACGAAGCATCTGATACTCTTGCTTGGTGGTTAGCAAAGCGAGCGCTCGCCCCGGAGACCCTCGTAGGCGTGCTCGCGAATCGAAGCTGCGAGGCAATCATTGCGTTCCTGGGCATCCTGAAAGCGAACTTGGCTTATCTTCCACTTGATTCCAAGACGCCAACAAAGAGGATAGAGGCCATCCTGTCGTCCCTTCCAGGCTATACTATTCTTCTTACAGGAGCAGATATTCCAAATACGAACATACAGCTGAGCAAAGTTGAGGTTGTTGGCATCAGGGAAGCCTTGACAGAGGCGATGGACGACTTCATTTCTCAACAATCTGTGACGACTATTGAGGGGCCATCATCCACCAGCCTCGCTTATGTCATGTTCACCTCAGGGTCGACGGGCCAGCCAAAGGGGGTCATGGTGGAACACCGCGGCATTGTGCGACTAGTAAGGGATAATAACCTAGTTCAGTATCTGCCAACCTCACCTGTTATGGCCCACATGGCCAATCTTGCCTTTGATGCATCGATATGGGAGATTTACGCCCCCCTATTACATGGTGGTACTATAGTCTGTATTGGCTCAATGGCGGTCCTGGATCCCGAGGTTGTACTCCAGATCTTTCGTCTACATCATGTACAATCAGCCTTCATGACACCAACTCTGATGGGCAGTTATGCGAAACAATTACCTGCAATATTCACTGGTATCGAGATGCTCTGTGTTGGAGGTGAAGCACTTCAGCCACATCACATTCAGAGCATAGAGAATGTGTTCACGGGCAAGCTTGTGAACTCATATGGCCCAACCGAGAACTCTGCCTGGAGTACACTCTTCCTCGTCGCGAAGAAAGAGAGATTATTGAATGGCGTGCCTATTGGCCGAGCGCTGAGCAACTCTGGTGCCTACGTTATGGACTCGAAGCTGACCATTGTACCCCTCGGGGTCGTTGGTGAACTCGTGGTTACAGGCGATGGTGTAGCGCGTGGATATACAGATCCCAGTCGTGATATCGATCGCTTTGTCTCGGTTACTATTAGTGGTCAGACGGTCAAAGCGTATCGAACGGGTGATTACGTCCGCTGGCGACCTACCGACGGCGAGCTAGAGTTTTTCGGTCGGATGGATGGACAAGTCAAGATTCGCGGAAACCGTGTCGAGTTGAGCGAGATCGAGCACGTTCTCTATAGCCACAAATCGGTCAGCGAAGCAGTAGTGGTCGTCCAGCAGCAAGGCGAAGAGGCGCGACTGGCCGGGTTCGTCACAGTAAACGAAAGCACTACAATGGCCAATGCACAGCATGACAATAGTGGCGAATCGCACCACGTGGACGCGTGGGAAACCAAATTTGAATCTGAACTGTATTCGCCAATTAGTGTTGTTCGACCTGAGAGCATTGGTCGAGACTTTGTTGGATGGACGACAATGTTTGATGGCAGAGAGATAGACAAGGGGGAAATGAACGAGTGGCTGGATGACACTATACATACAATACTCGAGATCCATCGACCCGACCACGTACTTGAGATTGGATCCGGAACCGGCATGATCCTGTTCAATCTGGGTAATGGGCTGCGAAGTTATGTAGGTCTGGAACCGTCCCAGAAAGCCATCAATTTCATCACAGAATCCGTCAAATATATGCCTATGTTGTCGGGCAAGGTCCAAATGCATAAGGCTACAGCAGCAGATGTTGGGCACCTTAAAACGCCTATCATCGCAAGCCTTGTCATTCTGAACTCGGTTGTTCAATACTTCCCGAGCTTGGAGTATCTCTTCAAGACCGTGCAGCAGCTGCTCAAGATCGACACTGTTCGCACGATTTATTTTGGCGACATCCGATCCTATGCGTTGCACCGAGAGTTCCTGACAACGCGATCACTGCGTATAGCGGGTGGCAAGGCAACAAAGGCTGATATCCAACGCATGGTAAATGACATGGAGCGAGTCGAACGTGAGCTGCTGGTTGATCCAGGCTTCTTCACTGCCCTGCCTGATTACTTTCCGGGCCTTGTCGAGCATATCGAGATCCTACCTAAGAAGATGAGGGGGACAAATGAGCCGAGTTGCTACCGCTATGCAGCTGTTGTGCATGTCAGAGAAACAAATCAGCAGACAAGAGACATTCGCAGCCTTGGAGATGGTGAATGGATCGATTTTGTAGAGCGCCGGCTGGAGCGACAGTCTCTACTGCAACTGCTCCGGGATCTTCCTGTATCGGCCACAATAGCTGTGAGCAATATTCCTTACAGCAAGACTATCCTAGATCGGTGCCTGATAGATGCGCTGGATGGAACAGAAGCAGAGACATTCGATCACAAGAATTGGCTGTCTGAAGTGCATCAGAGAGCCCAGCGCTTTGCCTCACTTTCACCTATAGACTTGGTTGAGCTAGCCCAAGAGGCCAATTGCCAAGTAGAGATCAGTTGGAACAGACAATTCTCTCAGCGTGGCGGCTTAGATGTCATCTTCCATCGATATCCGCCACAAAAAGAAGAGAATAGGATAATGTTCCGGTTCCCCACTGACCACTCAGATCGTCCGTGGCATAGTCTCGGCAGTAAGCCGTTACAGCACAAGTTCCTGCAGAGAATCCCACAAGAGCTTCTGGAGATTGCTGAAGGTCATCTGCCTGCTTACATGATTCCTCAGACTATTACCGTGCTAGATGCAATGCCGATGAATCAGAACGGCAAGATAGACCGGAAGGCGCTTGCAGAACGAACAGAAATACAGAATAGCCATAGAGAGTCGACCCAGCAATTGATGTCAGCTGGAGAGAAGATGATGCAGCAGCTGTGGGCTCAGGTACTCGGCATCGATGCGGACACCATCGGGCTGGATGACAGCTTCTTCCGCCTAGGTGGCGACTCGATGGCAGCCATGAAGCTGGTGGCTAAGGCCCGCAAGCAAGGCATCCAATTGACAGTTGCGAGCATTTTCGATTCTCCTAAGCTCACTAATCTAGTAGCTTTAGTCCACAGAGAAGCTCCAACCACAGCGCAATATATTGAGCCTTTCTCGCTTCTTAACTTAGACTCAGACGCTGAAAAAGCACAAATTCAGGACGAAGTTGCAGCTAGCTGTGGCCTAGATAAAGGCCTAGTAGAAGACATCTACCCGTGCTCACCTCTACAGGAGGGCCTAATGTCACTAACGTCGAAGCGAGCAGGCGACTATATCATGCAGAGCATACTAGAGCTGCATGGCGACATAGACGAAGGCGCTTTCCGGGCAGCGTGGGAGCAGGTGGTCCTATCATCAGCCGTGCTACGCACCAGAATCGTGTATCACAGCAAGCTGGGCCTGCTGCAGGTTGTCGTCGCAGAAGGGATACAGTGGTCAGAGTCAGACGATCTACAGGCTTACATCGCCGAAGACAAGTCTGCAACGATGGGGATAGGCAATGTTCTGGCGCGCTATGCCATTGTCAAGGAGCACAACAGTGGAAAGCGCTGGTTTGTGTGGACAGTTCATCACGTCTTGTACGATGGCTGGTCACTACCTCGCATTATCAACGCAGTCGAGAGAGCATACAAAGGGGCTGCCGTTGAGAAGGAGGCTGGCTTCAACGCTTTCATCCAGCACCTTAGTCAGCAAGATCAGGAGGAGGCCGCTAGGTACTGGCAGGCAACGCTTAGCGGCTGCGATGCTATGCCATTCCCATCACTGCCGCCGACCGTGCAGCAGCCTGTTCCGGATACCATGTTAGAATATACGTGCCCACCGCTTCCCAAGACAGTATCTGACACGACTAAATCAACGCTTATTCATGCTGCGTGGGCCATTGTCGCTAGTAGCCAAACCAACTCAGACGACGTCATCTTTGGGGTAACGGTAACAGGCCGCAACGCACCGGTCGCTGGCATTGAAGCCATGCTGGGCCCGACTATTGCAACGGTGCCTATGCGCTTGCGTTTTCCTAGAGACTTGACCGTGTCGGCCTTTCTTAAGAGAGTCCAGAAGCAGATGATTGAGACGATTCCTTACGAGCAGATGGGACTGCAGCGGATTGCCAAGATGAGTCCAGACGCGCAGCATGCCTGCAACTTTCAGACATTGTTAGTAGTGCAGCCGGCGAGTGACGAGCTTGGGACCAACGAAGCGCTGGGAACATGGAAGAACGAGTCAGTGCGGCTGAATTTCACGACTTATGCATTGGCACTGCAGTGCACACTGGCTGATTCTGGGATTCACATTATGGCCAGTTTCGATTCGCGGGCAGTGGATCCATGGCAAATGGAGAAAACCATGGGCCAGTTCAGCTCCGTGATGAGGCAGCTGGCCGATATAGACGCCAAGAAGACAGTTGCAGAAATTAACGTGCTCAGCCCTAAGGATAGGGAACAACTATGGGTGCGGAACGGCACGGTGCCTCCCGCAGTGGAGCGGTGTGTCCACGACCTGTTTGCCGAGCAGGCGAGAGCGCAACCCAATGCGCCCGCCATCTATGCGTGGGATGGCGAGTTGACGTACGGCGAGCTGGACGAGCTGTCGTCTAGACTAGCAGACTACCTAGTTAGCCTAGACCTTGAGGTCGAAGGCTTTGTGCCTTTCTGTTTCGAGAAGTCGCTATGGACAGTCGTAGCCATGTTGGCTGTGCTCAAAGCCGGCGCTGCGTTTGTACCGCTAGACCCAGAACATCCAGCAAATCGGCACCAGGAGATTTTCCAGCAGACCAAGGCACGCATTGTGCTTGTTTCAGAGCAGCACTCAACACTGCACCAGTATGGCGACCGCACAGTTGTAGTGGTCAGCAAAGCATCCATCGCTGGGCTTCCCAGCCAGGCCGTCAGGCAGAGAAAAGCTCACCGGAAGGTACAGCCAGGCAACGCAGCCTATGTCATCTTCACGTCAGGAAGTACGGGAAAGCCCAAGGGCGTAGTGGTGGATCACAGAGCAACAACTACAAGCTGTCTTGCCCACGGAGCAGCGATTTTGCGCAACCGCGATTCACGTGTTCTACAGCTCGCCGCTTACACCTTTGACATGTGCCTAGCAGAAATTATTACAACAGTTCTACTTGGAGGCTGCGTTTGCGTTCCTTCCGAGAACGACAAGCGCAACAACCTGGTCAAGACTATTGCTGAGATGCGCGTGACGAGTGCGATCCTCACTCCTACTGTTGCACAGCTCCTGGACCCTAACGCGATTCCTTCACTTCGTACCCTTGTACTTGGTGGCGAAGCTGTCAGCATGTCTGAGTGGAATAGATGGGAGGGCCATGTCGATGTCATAAACGGATATGGGCCAGCAGAATGTACTATCATCTGCGCAACGTATCATAGTGGTGATGGATTTCAATCTGGAACTATCGGCAAGTCGGTTGGGTCGATCAGCTGGATCGTCGACCCTGCCGACCACAACAGGCTTTCTCCACCAGGCTCAGTTGGCGAGCTGCTCGTCGAAGGACCGATCCTGGCGCGCGGCTACCTTGGGGATGCGGAGAAGACGGCAGAGGTCTTTATCAACGACCCGGCCTGGCTGCTAGAAGGGTGCGACCAGTACCCGGGCCGCCACAGTAGACTGTACAAGACAGGCGACTTGGTCCGATATGGCCCGGACGGCAACTTGGTCTTCGTGGGACGCAAGGACGGGCAAGTCAAAGTGCGTGGACAGCGAGTAGAGCTGGGCGAGATTGAGCATCACGTGCACGAGTGCATGCCAGCGGCAGAGCAGATGGCAGTCGAGGTTATCCTGCCTGGAAACGAGAAAGCCAAAGCGGCCGTGGCTGTCTTCCTGCAGCTAAGAGAACACGACGCCGCAGTAGATGGCTCGCCAGCACGCGTCTTCTTCCCTGTCGAGGTGGACAGTCAGCTCAGCGAGCGGCTGCCCAGTTATATGGTGCCTGCAGTGTACTTTGCAGTGCACCAGCTTCCCATGACGACGTCGGGCAAGGTGGACAGAGGGCGGCTGCGCGAGATCGGGGCCTCGTTTACGGCACAAGAGCTGGCAGACTTGCGCACGCATAGCCAGGGACCCAAGCGACAGCCGACGACCGACAAGGAGAGAATGCTGCAACAGCTGTGGGCACAGGTGCTCAACGTCGAGGCGGCCGCCATTGGACTTGACGACAGCTTCTTTCGCCTCGGCGGCGACTCAATTACGGGGATGAAGCTAGTAACCGAGGCGCGCAAGCATGACATTCACCTGTCGCTCGCGGGAGTCTTCAAGCATCCTAAGCTTATCAACTTGGCCGCTTGGGCTGCTAAAGACGCTCAGGTTACGTCGCAGGGCATTGCACCTTTCTCTCTCTTGAACTCCGATGCGGATGCCGACATAGCAAATGTCCAGAAAGAAGTAGCTACCGACTCTGGTACAGACATGTCTCGCTATCCATTACTTGCAGTTTTGCCAGCTATCACCACCGACTCAGAAGTAGTCTTTCCATTGTACAATTCGCAGGCAATCTCCGAATGTGGAGCAACGAACAGCATGGTTATTGACTGGAAAAAAGAGGCTATTTTATCCGACATTACGGTCGCATTTGAATCAAACCAGCACACAATGCCGAAAGACGACCCCCAAGTGGTTATGCTTACTGGCTGCTCTGGTTTACTCGGAAGACATCTCCTCAACGCACTTGCAATGCAGCCTTCCATTCTGAAGATCATTTGCGTAGCGGTCCGCCACCTCTCAGACCGCCTTAAGAACGGACAATTACCCCCACCAAGCGGTCGCATCATTTACTACTCAGGCGATCTCACGGAGCCTAGATTCGGACTTGATGAAAGGGAATGGGCTACGATTTTCGATGAGCTTGACCTTGTTATCCATAACGGTGCTGAGACGTCTCACATTAAGCACTACTCAGCTCTTCAAGGTACAAATGTCGACTCTACAAAACAGCTCGTTCGCTCATGCCTGTCCCGCATGGTGCCAATTCACTACATCTCAACAGCTAGTATGTCAACGGCTGTAGGTCTCGACATCTCGTCAGCAAAATCATGCACAGGAGTTGGTTGGGCACCCCCAGTTGATGGTGCGCTAGGCTATTTAAGTACAAAATGGGTGTGTGAGGCTATGCTAGAGCGCGTTCATGCTATGTATAGACTGCCGATCGTGATTCAACGACCCTCGGCCATTATTCGCGAAGGTGCCGACACTCGGTCAGAAATGTTCCAGTACGATCTTCACAACCAACTCTTGCACTACTCGCACATTACACAAAAGGTGCCACGAATCGAGCATAGGACTTATCTGTTCGACTTTGTCTCTGTCGAGACATGCTGTAGAGACCTGATTCGAAACTTACGAGCTAGCAAATCCAACCGCGAAGGCATACTGTACGTGAACAGTGTTAGCGACAAGGTTCTACCCGCAGCAGAGATGGGAAGCATTGGACTAGAAAAAGAAGGCAAGATATATGAAGCGGTATCGGTAGAGGAGTGGGTGCAGGATGCAGTCTCGGCGGGCATGCATTCAGCTATGGCAGCGTTAGTATTGTGTTCCCTGATTTCATAGCGATCTTTCTAGTATTGTGATTGTTTGCTTTTCTTTATATCTTCATGTCGGCGTTCGGCAATAGTTTCTTAGTATACTTCCTAAACTGCAGTGCTAAAGTCTACTAGAATAATATTGGAATAAATTTGGAGTTGAAAAACCTTTTCACTAATGTGCGTCCCACGAAACTTCAGTACCTCACCCCGCCTTTATAACATCTAACGTGTTTTATAAGCGAGCGGTCCATACAAGCGAGTGGTCCACCCCATCAACCTTCTATACCTTACCAGCTATAGATATTAGGATGGACAATATCTAGTAGATATTGCCTATAGGCCCGTGCTTTCTACTCTAGGTATTGACCTAATATTTATAAAATAACCCTATAGTAATTATTACCTTCCTAATTAGGAAATCTCTAGGTATTAAGTAGCTCTAGGTAGTTATTGAGTAAGTGTAACGATGTTACAACTTCACCAAGTATCGGACTAATCCCAGAGCCGGATCGGAGGTAGAGTAGTATTCGCCGCCCTCTTCATCAACCACTCGTTGTGAGGTTGGATCTAATTTAGATCCGACTAAGATAAGTATATAAAGAGATACTTTTTATAGCTACCTCTGTGTAACGGAGTTACATGCCTATATATATTATACTACACTAGAATAATCAGTTCAGATTATTCTCGTGCTTACCTTTTGCTGGTGGGTTGGCTGCGGCCGAGTGGTTGTCACGTAGTATTGACTTAGTGGGCATTGGTGCTCACCTCCGCTACACTCTGTAGACTTTTAATATCCTTTCGTATAAGGCCTAGTTATAGGTGTCTATTTAAATTAAGGCTCGTTTAATGTCCTACGCACTCCCATATGCCTCTAAGTGATACTACTGCTAATACTAATCTAAGTAGTCTTGCCTGCGCCGTTATTGTAATGGGCTGCGCCCATGAGTGAAACACGTGATTGTATCACGTGTCCTCTTCACACCGTTTAGTCACGAAACCTTATTCGTACGAAGGAACATAAGGCAAGAGTATGAAGCGAGAGACGTCGTACGATAGCTTTACCTTCTTTATCTTTCTTCTTCTATAATATAGGTTTAATGCATACTCGTTCGAAGGCCTCTTCGCCCTTAACATAAGAAGAAAGATCACCACCTCTATCTCTTCTCCATATGAGAACGGAAAATTGAGAACGTATCTCTATAAGCACGATAAGCGCGCTTAAGAGCAAGTCACGACACTATGATAGACGCGGAGCCGTCCCCACAAAACAACAGGCTAGATAGTTAAAATCACTAAGCACAACCCTCGTACTAAGACCTTCTCGCTAATAATAAGCAACTTCGACAAGGCCTTAACTAAGCGACGGAGGAGCTCTAACAAACTCAGAAAGTTTTCTAAGAATTTAAGCAGATAAGAAAACTCCTTCGTACGATTCAAAGTCAGCTCCCTACTAGCAACGCATAGACACCTATGTTAACTCTAAATGAGATCGGTCAACAACCTAACTTTAACTTAACGCCCACCGCTAGACCAGCCGTACGAAGGATTAAAAGAGTAAGGCTTCTAGACGTAGTTAGAGGTCTTTGATAAAGGAACACACGAAGAATACTCCTAATGGAAAACCTGCGTACGAGCTAAGCTACCTGCGGATTACCCCGCATACCTTACAGAAGAGTACTAAGTGCACTATGTAATTACTCGTACGAAGGGATAGGCCTTTACCGCTCTTTAAGCTTACGTCACGGCGGTAATAGACAAGGAAAGGGAGCCGTCGCTAGCCGAGCTCTGGGCTTAGCTAGACGGATTCTTCCAAGACCCAACAATTAGTTACATGTGGAGTTGATTTTGCAAAACCAATTCTGGCTCGACCACTTGATTTAGGCTACGATAGGTACTGGCTTTCGTGCTGCGCCATGAAGCGGAGATTGACGCCATCACACTTGCACAGTATGTTGTGACATTTCACATGAAAATATATAAATCAGATAGTTATAACTACATATATGCGCTAATGAAATAGACAAGCATGAGATATTAGCGTTAGCTACAATCAAATGTGAACATCAGAAAAGTAGCCAGTTGCAAACGCTCGCTGATAAGCACCTGTGGACATGTTGCACATCAGTTGCCAAGTATGCTAATGTCACCGTTAAGCCGCGCAGCTCTTTACTCATCATTTTATGTGCATGCTGGCAACGACGCTTTACACGCCGCTAGAGATATCTCGAGGTTACCTGAGAGCTGTATGATCGCGTTGCAAATCATCGCAAGCAGATTCTCTGCACACTGGTCTGTCAAAATGCTGGTGTTACCAACTATTTTAATGGTCAGGTTATCACCTCTTGGGTATGACACGACTGCCAGTTGGCGAGGTACTGCAAAAGGATTCTTCATCCATTGAAGCTTAGTAGCCTCTCCAGCGAATTGAAATTCAGGTTCCTCCTCAATATTTTGGTGTTGAATGAAGGAGTCGAATTCTGAATTGCGTGGCCAGTTAGTGCAGTGTTGGACTATGTCGTCAAATCCCATCGAGTCTGACTCGCCAAGCGAGATGTACTGATCCTGCACAGACCGAAGGAGTTCCGCAGCTGTTATAGTCGAACCTGGATGGGCCCTGAAAGGCACAAAATTCAAACAAGGGCCCATCAATTCTGTGATACCTGGTAAGTTGGAGTTGCGGCCAGCAACTAACAGTCCATATACGACGTCTTCTTCACCACTGATATGAGAAAGCACCACAGCCCAAGCGGAACTGACGAGGGAGGCCATAGTGAGACCTGCAGGAAGTTGGGGCGTGCGCATGACTCTTTCTGCCTTAACCAGACGAAGGGCAGTGTCTTTGCGTGCCTCGGAACGGAGTTTGGAGGTGATGTTGGTAATGTGTGAGCTTGCAAGAAGGTCGCGCCAGTAAGGGATGGACAGCGAATGTCGACCACGAATATATGCAAGATAGTTGTGAAAGCTAGTCGTAGGATGCAAGGGCTGCTGCTCATAGATAGTTTTGAGCGCTCTCAACATGATTGGGAGGCAGACACCATCGTATTGGGCGTGCGACAAGCGAATGATTAGCCGATTCGTCCCCAAGGCAGTTCGAACGAGCATGAAAGAGGTTGGAAGTCCGAGTGGAGACGTTTGGACGACATCTTGCATGTGTATAGCCTGCGACTCTTCTGCGAGTGGTCCATCGACTTCGAAGGTCGAAAACGGCAGGTCCTGATGGCGAGGGACGACCTGGAATAACTTGTCTTGGAAGTAAACGAAGTGAGTGCGAAGGATCGCGAAGTGATCTATAAGTGCACAGCAACTAGCTTCGAGGACTTGGACATCCACGGCAGTGCCTAGGTCTATAAAGAAGTAGTTGAAAGCTTCTCGAGGAGCGCGAACGCCTTTCCTAATGAAAGACTCTTGCATATAGGAAGCCGGGACGACGTCCATGACGTTGTCTATGGGCAGGGAACAACCAAAAGGCTTGCCTGCTGAGAAAATTGCGTCCTTGATGGTAGGTGAGAGAAGAGAGAAGGCAGGTACCTCTTCAATTGCAGTGCTACACTGCTTGGTCTCCAGGCTGGCCAAGGCTGCGAGCTTGGGGTGACGGAAGATATCTGCGACAGAGAGCTGCAGCCCTACATTGCGAGCCTCACCCACCAGCTTCATTGCTGCGATCGAGTCGCCGCCCAAGAGGAAGAAGCTGTCGTCCAGTCCAATGCTGTTCGGCTCGATGCTGAGCACGCGCGCCCACAGCTGCTGCATCATCCGCTCGGCCTCTGTCGACGACTCCCGCTTGGGGCCTTGGCTAGACGTCCGCATCTCAGCCAGCTGCTGGGCCGTGAAAGAGGCTCCGATCTCCCGCAGTCGCCTGCGATTCGTCTTGCCGGTCGCTGTTGTCGGCAGCTGTGTGAGCGGAACGAACAGCTTGGGCACCATGTACTGCGGTAGAAACTGCTCGAGCCGGTCCTGGATTACCTGTGCAGCAGCCTGTGCGCGTGTTGCCGACCAGGCTTTATCGTCTGTCTCTTCTTGGCCTCTACTACTCTCGACAACAACGAAACAGGCCAGCATGTCATCCTTGTCTTCGGGTCTGATCAGCTCTACGGCCAAGTCCATCACCCCAGCTGCTGCCGAAAGCCGGGCCTGATGTTCGATTTCTCCGAGCTCGATGCGCTGGCCGCGCAGCTTGACCTGAGTGTCCTTGCGCCCCAGCAACTCGATAGACCCGTCTTCCTTGTACCTTGCAAGATCGCCAGTCTTGTAAAACCGAGACTGACTCTTGCAAAAGGAACCCTTCCACTCTGGAGTTTCAATGAAGGTCGCAGCCGTCTTCTCGACCTCGTCTGTATATCCTCGACCCAGCACAGCCCCTTCAACGAGCAGCTCGCCAGCAGCCCCTAGCGGTGCGAGGCGGTCGTGGTTGTTAGCATCTACAATCCAGTAGACAGCCGTGGTAGCCTTGCCCACATCCTTAGTGGTGGAGGCACTCGTCAATCTTGCCGACGAAACGAGGCCGGACAACTCGCTACTTCCATAGGTCTGTCGCAAATGCACACGACCCTCCCACTGCTTTATTTGTGAGCCACGTATCGGCTCTCCACCAATGCAGAGAGTCGTCAAGGATGGAACTGACTCCAGGCCACCGATGGTGTCCAGGACAGTGGGCGTAAGAAAGGCCCAGTTGACGGCCATCCTTGACATGGCTGGCGCCAGCCCGACTCGGCGCTCTTCATCAGAGGGAATGCATATGCAGCTCCCATGTACTAAAGAGAGAAACATCTCTATTACGCATCCTGCGAAGCTGAACGAGCTAAACTGCAGCGAGCGGGTGCTAATGCTCATTTGCAAAGAAGGCCCATGCTGTACAATTGCGGTGCAAGAAGACCTATGCTCAACCTTGCATCCCTTAGGCTCACCTGTGCTTCCAGAGGTGAATATGACGTATGCCGTGCTCGTGGGCTGTGTGTGAGGGAGCTGCCTGTCATGCTTGGACATCTGAAGCAGCGACTTCTTGTCTACCACAACAACGTCGCGCACTAGATTTTCTACAGCTGGTAGACATGCCTTAGATGCCAGAGCCCGCACGCTGCCTACTTTGCGGCACATCACAGCGAGCCGCTCGGCAGGCAGAGAGGGATCAAGAAGGAGGAATGCACCGCCAGCCTTGAGCACGGCCAGCATGGCTACAACGGTCCATATCGACTTCTCGAAACACAGCGGCACCACTTCTTCGCCCTTGACACCGAGCTGCACCAGGTAGCCCGCCAACTGGCTTGACAGCGCGTCCAGCTCGCTGTACGTCATCTCGCCGTCCCACGCACAGATAGCAGGCGCATCGGGCTGTGCTTTTACCTTCTCGGCAAACAGGTCGTGCACACATCGTTCGACTGTGGGTGGTACGTCTTGGTTCCACGCCCACAGCTGCTGGCGGTCTGCTGGCGTGATAGTGTCGATTTCTGCCACCTTACTATCTGCGCTCGCCTCGGCTAGCTGCAGCATAACAAAGCTGAACTGGGCAAGCATCTTCTCTACTATCCACTGCTCGATGACGCGTCTATCGAAGCTCGCCATGATCTGTACTCCC